TGTTTTGGACAGGTGTCGAAAAAGATGAGGAAATTCAGGTGCCTCCAAGATCTTCAGACTCCACTCTCAGCTGATTTCTCCCAAGCCGAATTGAGCCGAGCAGCGGGAAGCCGCTGATGGGTCCCATGTGAAATAGGGAGAGACGGGGGAGAGCAATTGTGGATTGGAAAGGCCATCTCCACATGCAAAAATGAAAAGTTGACCTACAATTTGTTTGAATAAAAGATCTCCCCATACTCAGCTGATCTGCTGGCCTTTGAGTCATCAGCTCTCTTGTACTTCTCCAAGGTCAGCTCATCCTGCACAAGGCCCTGCTGAAATGGTAGCGTGACTACCTCTTGGCGCAGTCATAGTTCGATTCAAAATGGTGCAAAAAAGTCTGTAAATATTTACGTGTGTATGTGTCTACATATGTATGTATATATTTTTTTATATTTATTGATATGTATGAGTGTGTGTGTGTACATAATGTAAATAATGTACATATAGATAGACAGATAAATAGATAGATAGATAGATAGATAGATTGATTGGTTGATTGATAGATAGATAGATAGATAGATAGACAGATAGATAGATAGGATAGATAGGATAGATAGGATAGATAGATAGATAGGATAGATAGGATAGATAGGATAGATAGGATAGATAGGATAGATAGGATAGATAGGATAGATAGGATAGATAGGATAGATAGGATAGATAGGATAGATAGATAGATATAGATAGATAGATAGATAGGATAGATAGGATAGATAGAAAATAGATAGGATAGATAGGATAGATAGGATAGATAGGATAGATAGGATAGATAGGATAGATAGGAGATAGGACAGATAGGATAGATAGGATAGATAGGATAGATAGGATAGATAGGATAGATAGGATAGATTAGGATAGATAGATAGGATAGACAGGATAGATAGGATAGATAGGATAGATAGGATAGATAGGATAGATAGGATACAGGATAGATAGGATAGATAGGATAGATAGGATAGATAGGATAGATAGGATAGATAGGATAGATAGGATAGATAGGATAGGTAGGATAGATAGGATAGATAGGATAGATAGGATAGATAGGATAGATAGGATAGATAGGATAGATAGGATAGATAGGATAGATAGGATAGATAGGATGGATAGGATAGATAGGATGGATAGGATAGATAGGATAGATAGGATAGATAGGATAGATAGGATAGATAGGATAGATAGGATAGATAGGATAGATAGGATAGATAGGATAGATAGGATAGATAGGATAGATAGGATAGATAGGATAGATAGGATAGATAGGAGAGATAGGAGAGATAGGAGAGATAGGATAGATAGGATAGATAGGATAGATAGGATAGATAGGATAGATAGGATAGATAGGATAGATAGGATAGATAGGATAGATAGGATAGATAGGATAGATAGGATAGATAGGATAGATCGGATAGATCGGATAGATCGGATAGATCGGATAGATCGGATAGATCGGATAGATCGGATAGATCGGATAGATCGGATAGATCATATAGATAGGATAGATAGGATAGATAGGATAGATAGGATAGATAGGATAGATAGGATAGATAGGATAGATAGGATAGATAGATAGATAGATAGATAGATAGATAGATTAGATAGATTAGATAGAATAGATAGATTAGATAGATTAGATAGATTAGATAGATTAGATAGATTAGATAGATTAGATAGATTAGATAGATTAGATAGATTAGATAGATTAGATAGATTAGATAGATTAGATTAGATTAGATAGATTAGATTAGATTAGATTAGATTAGAGTAGATTAGATTAGATTAGATAGATAGATAGATGAATGCGTTACATTACATTACATTGTATACACTGCATTGCATTGCATTACAATATAATACAAATACATACATGTCTGTGTGTGTTTTGCATCTGCGTACATCTGTGAATATGTATATATATATATGTTATATATATATATACATGTGTGTGTTATATATATATACATGCATACGAACATACAGTGTATAGGCCGAAAACTTACCTGTGTTCATGTTGGTGATGCAAAGAAAACCCTGCCCACTAGAAATCTACTCAAGAAGTCCTCCTCTTTCTGGCGCGCGGCAATGGCCCACTGCTCCAGCTCTTCTTGGTTCCAGTTCATCTCTAGCTTGAACCTGCGCAAAGCTCAGGTTTTGCTGAACAGATTGTAATCCCACCCCAGAGCCCAGTAAACCCTCAGCTCTCGGTGCAGCCCGCTTTTTTTGCCGCCATTCCATCGTTAGTTCTCCCAGGCTGCAGCTCTCGTCCTGGGACGAGAAAATCTCGGCCGCGAATGGGAGGTTCATCCCTGAATTTACAAGCATCATTTGATTTCGGCTACTGCTCGCCAGAGATTGACGCCAGTGTTTGATCTCCCAAACTGCTAGCAATCCGCAAAGAGGAATAATGCTCGACAATTGCATATATCAGAATCCCGGAAAACCAAAGCCGGAATCACCACCACCACCACCTCCTCCTCCTCCTCCCCGATCACCACCGCCAACATTATCATGATCATCATCACTACCACCATCACCAACACCATCATCATTACCACCTTCTTCTTCTTCTTCTTCTTCATCAGCATCACCCCACATAGTTGGCATCGTACCATCATAAAGCATTTCATCATAGATAGACAGACAGACAAATAGACAGACAGGCAGATGGAGAAGTAGATAGGTAGATACATAGATATGATAGATAGATCATTCAACCTTGCGTGAGCCACTGCAGCGCCTGCAAGGGGGTCACCAGCTTAGGCTGACGCCGCCATGGCGTTTGGGAATCGCTGGCCATCACAGCCCCTTGGTTTGAATGCTGCGAAACATGCACCTGCAATGTCTTTTTTGTACCGAGGCCTGCCAAAAAAGGGATCGGGGCTCAATGTTGCAAATCCTTCTTACAATGAGTTGCAAACATCTGCTCCAAAGTCGATAAGTTGCTGTTGGTGCACGATTGCTTTTGGGGAAATTCAGCTTCTCTTCTCGCTGCTAGATCCTGCGTCAGCCTGACTTGACCGGCCCACCATCCATAACAAGTCCAACTGAGCATGGATAATTGATCCCCCACCCAGTAATCATAGTCGGACTGTAGGAAAACCCTCTGCTCCCTTGCTTAGTGTTGGTTACATTCCAATGTTTGGCCCCAACATATTTACCGTTTTGGTCAAAGGTTTCTGTTGGATACACCAGGGCAGCTGCTGGCGTACTGGTCCAACTTCTCATTTCCTCTCATCAGCTCGTTTGAGAAGGCGTTGATTTGATCCTGGTGTCAGGAACCTCTCACCAAGTGAGTCCCAAGGATGTGAGCAGAGTCAGGGAGAAGCAAAGGATCTTCCTTCAAATGGCAGGCACGTAAGCCTGGATCAATAGGACCGGAATACAGTATATGTATCTATATATATATATAAATTATATATATATACATATCCTGCAGAGTTTCTGAAGCCCCTGGATGGTGGTTTTGGAAGACTTGCCACAGACTTGGGCTGAATTAACACCTGGAATCCGACTTCATTCCAAAGCCGCACCAAGCCAAAAGCGAAACTTGCCTGTCCTGAGTGTCTTCTAGGACCTTCTGAAGTCTGACGATCTCTGAGTTCAATCGGCCAAGCTGCCTAAGCCCGCAAAGTACTGGAGCCAGCATCACTTGTACACCTCATCCCTTTTCTTCAAAAAGGCCTGGTTGAGTTTTGCGAAGATAGAGCCGTTGCAGGCGGCACATCTCAGACCCTCTGACGAATGAAACATTCAAAAATCAACTTCCTAACCAGAGAGTTCGCACGGCCCACAGAGGCCCAGAACACCCCGCTTCTCTTGCTCATAATGCAAACAAGCTTCCGATTGGTTAGAGCCTCACATAGTTTGAATGAGACATTCATGGACTTTATCAAACTTTGTGGATCATCTCAACTGCAAACTGGGCTTTCCTAATGCTGCATGTTAAGCATATACACATGTACAGTCATGTACACATGTACAACATACAAATACATGTTTATACATACTGTGGATGGAAGAAATCCTGCACCAGTTGGTAGATGGTCTATCCCATAACCCCATTGTTTACAGTGTTTCATATATAGTTCCCAATAGTTACCAACTGGTGCAGGATTCCTTCCATCCACAGTATGTGCCATGGTCAAAAAACATGGTATGTGGGTGGTCATCCATCCCATCATGGGAATCCCTCTAATGGGTACTTTACCCAAGTGTTGACCATGAACATGTACATATATGTATACACGTATACATCTGTACATACATGTATCATTATATATATATACATACACATTCTGCATATACATATATATATATGGATACATGGCAAATATATATATATATAACCTAGCCTAACCTAACATAACATAGCAGAATATGACATTAATATGGCATTGCATAGCATAACATTACATACCAATGCGTTGACTTGTGTTGCCTTACATTACAAACACATTGCATTACGTTTGCGTTGGGACCGCCCAACAAGCCCCGGAACTCCGAGACTTCCCGAGACGTCACACCTGCAAATGCTCTTCAGTCGTTGTCTCGTTCTTCTTCGCGTCCACAAGCTGTTGAGTGTTCACAAGTTCCTGCCATTGCTCGGTCAAGAAATGTCGAGAATGGGCCAATGGGCCGTCAAAGTTTGATGCCCCAACGGCCCCATCCACACGTGGCAAATTGGCTCTCTACCTTTTTCTAATTGCAGTTTGGACTTGATTAGTGGCTAGAAAATTGCATTGCACATTGCCTGTGCCATTTTCTCACCCCCTCTCGTTTCTCCACTCACAATAATGGACTCTCCATGAAAAGTTTCTGTATTTTCAGGTTTCAGCTGGGGTTAACCTAGTTATACCCAAGTAGACTGATAAACCTAGAAGACTACACAAAACACCGTTAAGCTAGCAGCTAAACCCTTTTTGGACTGAGCCGCATTGCTGTCGTACGCATATCTATGATAC